TTCATAGACGTAGCGTAGGTGCGTATAATATATAGTTTATCGATGAATAGATGTATCCAGTATCTAGACAGGCATACATTTCCACCGCCCGCGTCTACGTAAGTGCTAGATTTTATTTTTAAATTTGATTCGACTTCATATTGGTGTTTTATCGACAATCAATTTATATTTGTAGGTTACAGACTTGTTCTAACTAAAGAAATTGGTACAAGGAAAACAAACAAAGTATTTTTATTGTATTTGTTATGATACTGCAAATTCTTGATTTTATACACCGACCTCCCATAGTTCCCGAGATATTTAAGTATCTTCGCGTAACCTTAATTCAGTAAGGCATTTGTCTTCTCTTTTCCTTTCTCTTTCATATATCTACACGTAGATCTTATTTACCGTTGTAGTTGGTTTAAAGGACATTAAAACAGGCGCGACAAACAACACTGTTAAGAGACGCGTGCGCATACTTCCCCCAAATAATTAATCGAATGTGGCACTTCCGCGTCTCATGGAGCACGTACAACACCAAAACTAACATTTGCGGATACAGCAACAGTAATAATGCCAGCAATAATTTATGTTATGTGTATTTAACTCAATTTTGAGTTCACTTTGTACGTTGACCTTGCTGCAAGTACAATCTGATGAATTTTCGAGGTTATTTTGAACCTCCCTCATTTCAACTTTGAAGTAATGATTAAATGTAGGAATGAACCTACTAATAAAACAACGTTAAGAAATTGCAGGTATTGCATTTGTGATTAAAGTGAAGTTCAAAATTACCTTTAATTATTTTTCACATGCATTCCCCTCGTTAGTGCTAGTACAATATTAAGAAATTATATCAGAGTTATAAAAGAATACCACCCGTTACATTATAGTATAATGTATTATGCTCGAACATTTCGTGTGGAACTTTGCACAGAGGTTTTCTGATAACCAAAATGTTTTCGGTTAAACGGTTATTGATTCCCATACACCCCCCCCCCCCCCCCCCCATAAAGAATGATTTCTGGGATAAAAACCAAATATCATCTAAATCGGTACAGCAGACAGAGAGACAGACACAGTTTCGCATTTATAATATTAGTATGGATTATAATATAAGGTTATTGATATATTAGATTATTAACTTGGGAATTGAATAGCTGACAATTTATATGAACTTTGGTGGGAGTATATGGAAGGTATACCTACGGCAAAAAAATATCAATAAAATGCCGCAGTTTCAATAGATATTACATGTTTTTAATATGTAACAGAAACGAACTGAATGCCTCCTCGAACGGTCTCTAACTACCTATAATGGGGGCTTTACTAACATTTCTGACCTATAAAACTGTAATATCATTCTTTAAATAGGAAAAGTAAGATATTATTGAGGATTTTTTTGAAGATTCCCTATACGAACTTTCACTCCTCTTTTCACCACTAAAGGGATAACTAATTGACAATGCTTTAACATGCATAAACATGTATTCTTTCTGTTTTTACCCTAGACTAATTTAAATAGTATTTTTGTGTTAATGTTTGTAGTTTATGTGAATAATCCGTTGTATTTGTGTCAAAACTCAATAATCCGCGCGCAGAACATTGTGCAAGACGAAATAGGTCGTTGGGCTGATATGCCACATTAAAAAGTATAATATATTGGAATAGGTGAGGTCCGGTGTCACTCCCCAGCGGTGAATGTTTAAAAACGCTTCTCACATACGTACGTGCGTTACGACATAATCATGTAAAAAATGCACACATCTTTTGTCAGGGCTATTCAGAGTTACAAGTTACTTATGAGCATGCCTAATCTCTTATCTCTAAAATTTATTATAGTTGGGACTGTATTGCTATTATTAAAAGTTAAAGACTGTACCAATACTTTTTAAAACGCAAAAATTAAATAAATAGCAATAAAATTAATAATATATTTGCTTACCTTCTAAATAAAGTAATTTACTTTACGCATGCTGCTACTTATTCAGCTACAAAACGCACTTTAAGACAGTAACAAACGTTCGCGCTACACACGACTCATCTTTCTTCTCGCTTTGAGCCGTCGAGTGTTTAACTCGGCGTCTATGGCATACTCTATCCTTCTTTAAACTGTATTCCAGCTGAAGATCAGGAAAGTGTCAATCAACAGTCGGAACGGCAGCTTTAAATGGTCCAGGGATGGTTATGTTTACGTAACTACGAGTACTTTTTTTATGGCAGAGGGGGCAAACGAGCAGAGCTATGTAATAAAACGATATAACACCATGTTATCATATATCAACATTATATGCACAGGAATGCTGACTTACTTACCGCTGCGTCACACAAAAGTTATTTAAAGTATTAAGCTCGCATTTATCTATCCTCAGTTCAAGTAGGTCAAAAAGTGAATAAGCCACATAACGCGGTGAAACAAGTCGGATTAAAATGAATTTTATATATGAAATAATGGTTAGACCCATGTAAACGTAAAACTAGCATACAGGTAGTAAGTGACGGGCGATAGTCGCTTACCAGCGGAAGCGATTATCATTTATACAAGACCTTAAATCAATAAAAACAGATCGAATATTTCAATGTTACACATTTTCAACAATGGCTCCTACGACTATTGGTCTGCTAAGGTCAGTCATTCAAAGTGTTTTTTTCCCTTATCCTAAGATCTTTTTTTTACGAAGTTTCTGAATATTCAAAACGTAGTATTAAATAAAAATGAAAGCTACGTAGGATCTAAACTAAGGCCGCCTAGACCTTAGCCATAAATCAATCATATCAAGAAATATCCAAACAAATATATTCTTCTATGAAAGAGCAGTGCAAGTAAATTATATTATTTCAGTTAAGTAGTATTTAATCGTCTATTGAGCAAAATATAAATATCTCCCCAAACAAGCATTCATAGCATCCTAGGTTTTCAGTTAATGTGACCCGGAATCGTTGTTCTCCAATAGTTGATTAACATTTAATGCAACTACATTAACACATGACTACGCAAATTGAATATTGCAAAATGAAACCATGATTGTAGAAAGTAAATTGAAAATAAAACTAACCTTTAAAATTTCAAAATTTTCATCCTCCTCACCTGGATAGTTGGCGCTCTACTTCTGTGCGCTTTTCGAGACACTTTTTGCCCTGCACAACCAATCTTTGGAACGGGTTATCGTCTGCGGTATTTCCGGACCCATACGACCTTACGACGAAGAAAAGAGAGTTCTCCTACCTTAAAGGCCGGCAATTTTTCAAATCGGACCAGTAGTTCTTGAGATTAGCGCGTTCAAGCAAGCAAACAAACAAACTCTTCAGCCTTATAATATTAGTATAGATATGAAATAAGTATAATATGATATAAGTAGGTGGATCAAGTTACCTTTATACACCACAATATTGCAACTAGTTATGGTGGGATTTCCGACGAAACGTTAAGCGCCGACGAGGAAAACTATCAAACAAGTGAATCGAACATAACACGCGGTATTGATCTCTAATGATAGTTTAACGATACTTGTTAAGTTACAAGGCCTCGAACTAATATCATACGTAAGTGAAAAAGTTTACTGAGACTTGTTCATGAACTTCGGTCACATTTTGACTATACCTGACCTGTGGGACAAATTTGGACCATTATTTTCTTCAGGCCTGTTAGTTGTGTGAATGACTGACCCTGCCTCCTTAGGTCGTGGGTTCGGTTCCCACCCAGGAATATACTTGGGTGATGAGCACGATCATTTGTTCTGTGTCGGGTGTAATTTATCTATTATACGTATGTTTTTAGAAATATTAGTAGTAAGTAGTTTATCAGCGGTCTGGTTACCATAGCACAGGCTCTGCCTAGTTTGGGATCAGACGGCCGTGTGTGAGATGTGTGAACTTATTATTATTATAAAAAAACTAACTCAGTTTTGATTATGTACATTTATTTCGTTGTCGAGTAAAATTTCAACTGCTATTGTTTACCTTTCCGTACCGTAACCGACTAACATAGAACAGAATATACTTTATTGTGCACCAATTTAATAACAATGTATCTCAAGTGTTCATATAAATACATCCTGGACACGTGTGGCTCGATCTAGCAGTTGTCACGTAATTTTTAATGTTTTACACATATTGTTAACAATTTTAGATAGCACTTATATATAAACTTTTTCTTCTTCTTCTTTTATCTTAATCTTACGCTCCAAGGTATGCAACATTAATAATAATAATAATATTTCAGACATCTAACACACAACGCAATCTAGTTTCAAACTAAGCAGAGCTTGTACTATGAAAGCTAGATTGACGGATAGAATACTTATATACTTTTTTTTGTAAATACGTACATATACATAGAAAAATTACCACATCCAACCCCCTTCCCCCCCCCCACAACTCCTCACCCAAACTCCGAAACAAATATTTGCAGTTCATACAAACATTTGGTCCGACACAGGAATCGAACCCGAGACCTCAGAACAGTAGTCGCATGTGCTACCACTGAGCCACCGAGGCAGTCAATTACATTTTTTTTAATACATACGTACAAATAAATTCAAATAATTCTCCGCACGTATAAATGTATGAAGGTAAGCAGTAATGATATCTTCATGCCCTGACTCTAACATGATCCTCCGACCAGACTAGATACTCGCACGGGGCGGACCACAGTCCACCGGTTGATCTTGTAAACTTCCAAATATGTACTTCTACGTATATACTACTTTATATTAAATACTTCTACATTTATAGTTTTTTTTTAATAGCGCGAGTCAGGAGGATCAATAGGTACTACGAGTATGTAGTTCAACTTACTTTTGCTAGATAATGTTGCTGTTGTTGTGCTGTACGTGGAAGTTGCTTCACTTATATACAATATAAATAATATACAAAAGAATAAAATTAGGTATCAAGCGCCACACTTGACATAAGTGCCCGACCTCTCGTTGAGAATATCTGTACTGCTCACAAAAACTTTACATCACGGAAAACTGATTTATATTGTGGATTTTATGTATATATGATGTTGTTTGCAGCAAGTGACGTACTACGTGATCCGCATGGCGCTTCTGATGTCTTGGTTCTGGGCGGCCGTCTTAACCTGCGCACCCATCCTAGGGTTGGGTCTGTACTACAAAGAACAAGACGGCATCGGGAAGTGCGTGCGTTACAGGAACGCAGAAACGCCCACAGACATGTCGTATGCCATCGTTTATGTCACTTTCGGTAAGTTGCAATATCTCGAAAATATCCAGTCTTTATTACCATATACCAGGGTTCACAGTAAGTTCAGTAGAATCACGTAATTATCAGATAGATTAAGTACGCCATTTTTGGCTCTACACATTCTAATAAAGTGGATGTGAAAGGAGGCAGTTATGTAGGCTCTGTATATTGATAAAATTGCAACCATACCCCCCGTTCCTGTAACAGAGACCGTAGTCCAAAATGGAGTTAGATAAAACTTATAACCTGGTGCTGTTGTTTTGGGCTGGTCATCAAGGACGCAGGACAACTTTAACCTTCTTTAATATCTTTGCTTAAACTTTAATCTATTCGTTGTAATTTAATGATTACTTGTGTATTTTGTAAAACTAATTAGCAGTGAGTAGTATTCATTTTAAAAGACAACATTTCTGTTGAGGTGCGTAACGTCTGGATGACACAACACCCGCAATGTTTTGTTATTGATTTTTATTCACCTAATAATCGGGTTTAAAGGTAAATCCCAATAAGTGCAGTTAGTTGAGAAGGTTAAATTAGCAACTCATTGTAACTAAATAATGATTCATGCAAAGGCAGCAGGGCAGGGTTTGACACATACTTCAACAATACTTTTAATATGTATATAAATTATTATAGTTTATTAACCAACTTGTAACTCTTAACTGAAAGCATTAAGAAGCGATGCTCTGTATTCCCAAGGACAGTGTGTTACATTTCAAAATGGGAAAGTAATAGTTTTCAGACCAGGCTAAGAAAGAAGATAAATTTAGAAAAGAGAGACGTCGATCGTCGTCGAGATCGTATAGGACGAGTTAGCCAGGGTAAGGAATGCTGCAATTTTCGGATGGAATACGGAATTGAGGTCGAAGTAGCACGATAGGGTTGCGTACCTTTTGTATCCGCCCTGTGATTAGAGAGGCTGGGACAGGGACACACACTACATCGAGGGGATTACACACGTAAAAAAAGGGACACAGTACATACAAACACATACTTACGAATGGTACATAGTTATATAAAATAACCACGGATATGGTCACTTTGGTCATAACACCGTAATTGCCGCCACAAATAGGCCGGCTCGACAGGAGTTATGCTTCGGGCAAATGGAGTCGTGTTATGTTATGGCGGTGTATGTTTTATGCCGGTGTTAATCTTTTGTTGCTTTCACCGAGAGAGTGACGTTACCAGAGCTTAAAACCCCTCACCCTCTTTCTGAAGAAGGAGGTAGGGGTTGATCAAAGGCACCCTTTGACTCTCGAGTTATAGGTAAAAGTCTGCTTGTTTGCCCCCTAAACCATATCTCTCTCTTGCTGACTATTCATCCCACATGGTGGTGGGATCTGAGACCTCTGCATATACTTCTTCCACTTTGCCCTATCCCTGACGTCGTCTTCTGAAACATTGCATGTCTTCATATCTCACCGCAACACATCTGCCCATATGCTCTTGTGTCTTTCTATAGAGCGTGCTCCGGGAGCGGATAGTTCTAGTGCCCGGTTTTCAACGTAATCAGATGGTCGCCTTCTGACATGCCCATACCACCTCATCCTACTCTCTAGCAGCTTCTCGGCAATGTCTCAGGCTCCCAGGCTTCCTCGTATGTACTCGTTTCGGATAAACCATAAAACAAAGAAATAACGCATATATACATTTGTAAATAGCAGTTAAAACCAATACTCACAAAATGCTTACGTACATTTATGACATTCATACTCGTAGAAACTGTCAATGAATCCAATGGTAGTTTCATTGAAGCGATGCAGTGCACTCTGCGACTCGCTAACAGGGTTATTGACATGACCACGCGTAAATAAACAACTAATAAAACTAGGCGAGGCATCGTGTTTGCCACTTGGAGCCACATCGTTGTGGTTCCGTATACTGCGAGGGCGCTGTCATAGCCAAAAACAATTTAAAACAACCGATTCGTAACTTTATCACTACCATTCGGTTAACTGATTTCTCACTCTCAAAGCTTCTTTAATTACTTAAATTCCAAGAAGTATAATATTATACTCATCGTGTTTTAATGTTCGTATGACGAATTGATAGTGTACAGTATTCTTAGTTCTTTTTTACCTTTGATTAAATGGTATTTATCTCAAACATTTTCTTGAGTTTAAATGGTAGGGATATAATTTCACTAAAGAAAACATAACATTGCACTATATTTTCTGTACCATTTATTTTATAACAAAATAAAGACTTATTAGTAATATTTGGCCCATTTGTTTTGAAAAACACGACCTCTGTATCAGAAAACATAATCAGTAGTCGCTGCACTTAACCAGCAAGCCTGTCATGAATGAATAAATGAATCAATAGAATGAATTTATCTGCAAGTACTCTTTTACCTTAACTGTTCCTTCCATGGGTGCACTTTTCAGTTTTCTATTTCATTTTCTTATTTGGTTCGTAATCTTGTTGAAGCCTAAGCAGTAGTAGTAATAAATTCCTATTATGAGAAAGAGAAATCCTTAATGACACTCTCGAGTTTACGATTTTATTTATATCTGGAGCCGCTGACAGTTGATCAGGCTTTATAGATATTCACCATTTAAGTAAGAATATAATTTCGACACCATGAATATGATCTAGCCCCACTCAACTAGAATAGACAAATTATGTATTATTTCTACATTGTTTACTTAGACAGATATATTTATTTCCAGGCACCTTACTCTGCGTAATCCTAGTGTATTGCAACTTGGCAGTAATCAGAGCTTTGTACGCAATCACTGCTCCTCGCGGTAGTCAGACTGTCGTACGTCGTGTCTCCAAGAGCAGCTGTCGCCAACGCCAGCGTACGCTCAATGGAGATCCCCCAGGCCCTCACCATAATGCTGCCACTGCTGAGGAGGTGGCCTTCAGCAGGCTGATGGCAACGCTTTCGGTGCTATTTATGTTGTGCTGGCTGCCTCAGATGGTAAGTATCAAAGCCGTAAACCCATATTTAGATTATTTTCTTTTCTTTTGTTTGTAATTAATTTTGTACCACATATCGTACACAAAATACTGAAAGAAAAATTTATAATGAAAATGTATGGGTACATAGAAGTTCTTTAGTGCCTAAACAGACATTAAGTGACAAAGACACTTAGAATGGCAACGAGCTTTGAGGTTGCCTTTCTCTATTTTTAGGGTTTCAAAGGCTAAGGATGCCGACAAAACCCTAATTATGAAGTTCCGCTGTCCATTCGTCTATCTGCCAGCAGATTGGAATAAACGTAAACTAGAATAGACAATCGAAATTTACATAGAGAGTATACATACGTTAGCAAGGAAATCTACAAACGCTTTCTCTATTTTTCGACCACCCTGTGACATATTTAGCCATATATATATTATATATATATATATATATATATGCCTAAATATGCTATGATGTAACCGCTGTGCCGTACAAGATTTCTACACCACCCAAAGGTTGACTGACTGGAAGTGAATGCCCTAGGCATTAAGTCTGCCGATGTACAAAAGTGCATAAAGTTAAATAAATAAATTAAATATATATTCCTACTTATAATCGACTATGAAAATCGGCTTGAAACCGCAACCGACAAGGGTTTTTTTAGTTGACGGTGTGGAAAATCCCTTCGGACCTCCTGCTCCTCGGGGACTCAGGAGCCAGGGGTACGTGGTGGTCGTAAGTACATCCGATACCTGCCAAGTGTAAGTGCTACACTTAATATTATTTGGTTTACGAACCTGTAAATAATATATCTAGAACACTTTTTTTTTTAAGTCTATCTATGGAACTTCGATAGCGCCTAGTACTTGGGTGGTGGAGGTCTCACGGTAGTCGCTCCTTGTAAATATCTAAGTTAAGTCGTGTCGTAGTATACTGAAAGCCGACCCCAACCTAGTTTGGGTAAAAGCTCGGCGGATGAAGAAGTTTTATTTTTGTTGTGGTTATTTACATTACATAGTCTGCCCCAAACACTCGCGTAGCGCTTTATTTATTTTGAATCTAGTTATGTTTCTCTAACTATGTATCATTAAAAATATCTTTTTTTTTTAATTTATTATTAAAAATTGCCCGTTGACCATTTTCCCTCAAACTCTGACAGTGAAGTCAGAAAACTAAGTAGGAGTTATATGCGTATAGATACGATTAATTATGATTTAAAATATTTATAAAAAATTGATTGTCGAAATGTCTTTTGTTTTCAATGCAAATTGCCACACAGTTGTAGCAACACAAGCGTAATGCCTAGTTCCTAAAGTAAAGTGTTAGGTGATCTTTCAATAACAGACGTCAGTGTATGTGCAATTTATTCTAGTCTATCTTCCGGTCAGCCGAAGGGTCCCACGCCACGACTAGCCTCAGATCTCCACTTAAATTATTAAACACTTAAATGAGTTCCAAGTACCTACACTATAAATATGTTAGTTAGTTTTTTCTTTCAGAGCAGCTATTACACAGGCATCGCTATGGTATTCTGCTATTAAGTAATTACATACTATGAGTGCAAAAAGTCTGCTCTCCTCTGGTTAGAATAATAAGTTGAAAAGTCTATGTGCAATATTTTAAAAATTCCATTCCAAATGTGTACTTACAATAAGACAATACTAAGAATTCATAATAGTCTAGTTACGGACGTTAGAATAGACTTCATAAGACAGGTATAATTAAGAGCAGTTGTCGTTCTGTCGCCTGCGGCGGTGAGCAGTTTAGCACTCCGTCCACGTATAGCACTCGATCGGAATCACTGCCGATATTATCGGCAGAACATTTGTATTCAACGGTAGTTCGCATGGTAATGATACGCTGAGAATACAAAGCCTAATTCCTCGTGCTCGCCGACCTTGGGCTGCCATACCTCGCGCCCCAAGATAAACCACCACAGTGATTCATAATCTGCGCTTCAAAGGAGCATTAAATTTTATTTGCAACTTTGTATTTTCATATTTGGCAGTTCGGTTTCATAACAGTCACAGGAAATATTCAAGAGTTACGTATGTGTGTAGTTAAAATAAACCTAATAATTTAAAACAATGATACATTGTTGTGCCTTTGCTGAGAATAATTGAGAGAACTATATTCCAGTTACTAGACGTAAATAATTAAAAAAAAAACAGCTCTAACAAACAGCTAAAAACCCTAACGACTATAACACCCAGAAAAGAAGACACTGACATATGTACATTGTCAGCTACATAACACAGCAAATGGGTATCTGTCATACTCGTAAGTATGCAGTTCGATACTCGCTGAATTGAGTATTGTAACCAAAGTAGTACTATTTACATTGTTAGGTGATCAAGCCACTGAGGATATAAAAATGCATGCAAAAAATCTCTACACTCGGTGTACAACATAAAAACCATAAACATTTATATCAGAAATGCATAATTGCAATATGATGTATGAGTACGTCTTTTATTATGAAACGGGCTAAGAAAAAGCCACGCGAATCTCTACCGCTCTTGATCTTCAAGGAAATCTGCTAGATGTTATATTAGCACAGAGTCAAGCACGTAACTCTCATCCTGGACAAATATACATTTATTATTTGAAACTAGCTGGTACCGGTTGGTACCTACTACCTACCCCTGGTACTAACTTCGTTCTCATCATCAACAGCCTATACTAGTCCACTGCTGGACATAGGCCTCTCCTTAGAAAGGAGGTTTTGGCCTACTATACCACGCTGGCCAGACGGGTTGGTATAGGGTTTGTTTCAAGTTTTCCTTCTCTTTGCAGTGCTGTTGTCCTGCTTAGTTTGCTCCCTTAGTCGGCTCTTACGACACCCACGGGATGAATTGGGGTGGTGACAATTTGTATTCTTAATCTGTCACCACACGGACTAACGACGAACTTCGTTCTCGCGGAATTTGAAATGCGCTGCCTAAGTGGTGTGCGTACCGTACGGTACGCGACTGCAGTCCATGAGGCCTCGGGTTGCCGAACTGGGCAATTTTTTATAGGGTTTTCTGAATGGTCTTAGTCCCTCCTTATACAGACAACTCTACCTGGTAGTAAAATATTATCAAAATCGATCGGGACGTTTTGAAGATTACCCGAAACAGATAGACAGACAGACAGACAAAAAATATTTAAACTGTTTTAATGGTTGTGATGCTACAACTGGTATCGTGCAAATAACCGTGAGCATGAAAAAACTTATTATTTTGACATTACAAACAGATACTGCAATTTTATTTATTTGTATAAGTACTCGTAGATGAATTTATGAAATTATTATTTTTTATTATTGTGTCATGATTTCAAACCATTCTGATTTCTGATTTTAGACACCATTATCAGCTATCACTGTCTCAGTTCAGATATCTATTCGTAGTGAGAGCTCAGTCAATCAATCGATCGATCTTTCTTTAGATTGGGTTTAATATTTAATTAAATATCCCTTCATGTCAGCAAAGTGTAATTGCTATCATATTGAGAAATACCAAGACTTTCAGGACAAAAATATATGTGACTATTGAAAATCCTACGCCGGGGTGATAACCCTATTGTGAGTCACATTGATTAATATAATTTAGTTTAGGGTTCAGTAAATAATAAGTACACTACAGACTACCCTAAACAGATTTGACAATATCCGTGTAAAGGTTGTCTGTAAGAGATCGCCGTGTGCGATAAGACCGCCTATTCTAATCATCATCATCATCAACAGCCTATACTAGTCCACTGCTGGACATAGGCCTCTCCTTAGAAAGGAGGCTTTGGCCTACTGGCCAGACGGGTTGGTATAGGGTTTGTTTCAAGTTTTCCTTCTCTTGCAGTGCTGTTGTCCTGCTTAGTTTGCTCCCTTAGTCGGCTCTTACGACACCCACGGGATGAATTGGGGTGGTGACAATTTGTATTCTTAATCCGTCACCACACAGACATTGCAAATGTAATTGTCCATCCATGTCTGTACAATATATACTGTAGTGTACTCCACGTACACTAAAGATGTAAAAATTTATAAATAATATCAAATTCAATTTCGCCTACGTCATCGATTATATATATTTACCAATGGTTAGTTCTTGGGGAGGGGGGTGGGGGGCACGCACGTGTGACTCCTGAGTGGCCGGTGACCATGGGCGGCGGCAGTCACTCACTTACCATCAAATGACCTTTCATAAACAAGAACCCGACAATAAATTTAAAAGGCTCATTCCCATTTTGTATATCAGTCACATCGCTATTTAAATTTTGCACGTGCTGCAATACAACTGCGAAGCTATTTCGGATTGTGATATATTCATGGATAACTTGAAGAAGGCCACGATTGATACCCACCATAAGTTGCCTAGATACAGACCAATAAAACGACGGTATTTATTTTTTAAACTTAGTTAAATGTTCCAATTCTTCTTGAATTGGTAAAAAAAATATAATTTACTTTATCAGTATTCTTTGCGCGAATTCCAATACAGAAATCAAATCTAATGATGATTTTTTAGAGCTCTTCACATTTAGGAAACATCAAGTGATGGTGTACCTATGTGTGCTTACAATATTGTTTGGTGTCAATCCGTACGTTGACAGTGAGACATTTGTATGCGCGCCGTTACTCACGTTTGGCAAAAATATTTCATTGTTTCATTAAAGGCGACGATCTAACTATAATTTTATTCATATGAGCTCACAACAGACTAGCGAAACGATGTCCGCGTTTTATACTACCAATATAGCTACTAAGTAATGGTGAATAAATATTAATTGGAGGGAACGTAATAATAAGATAGATACAGCAAACTAAACAGGTTACAAAACATCTTTAAACAACTTTAATGGAAAGATAACGTTAGAAGAAAAGGACCAGACAGAGAGAACGGTGGCAGTTTGTCCAAAAGTGCACATTTCTCAGATGAAACGTAAGCATATTATGACAGGCAAAAGAGCAAAGGGTAGGGGAAACGAATTCTATAAGTTGATCTGGCTCGACTGGTTCTTCGATAGAGGGTCGGGCAAGCCCACTCTTGCCACCTAGAGCTAGCTCACTCATTCATTGGAAAGGAAAGTGTTCGGAGACAAACCATGTACCAAGACCAAGACCTTGGAGTGACTCCAAGAGTTTTCGTTTGATACCAAATGAATAAATTGAATTAAATGACATCATTTTTCATCATTTAAGGAATGCTACTATTTTGTACAGGGGAGTAGAACCGTACGTGCACTAAAGCTTAGTGCACGACTTCACTGGTGTTATCAGAATATACTGGCGCCGGTAACCTGCCACCGCGGGCCATGTATTTTTTTTCAACCAAGTTTTAAAATCATAACGTACTTAATGACAACACTACAAGAAGAAAAAGAGATTCAGAGTCTCAAGTATATTATTTAAATTCAGATCATTTATTTATGCAGAAAACGCTATCTATATCTATACAAATAAATAAAATTGACTGTTTGTAATATTAAAATAACCGCTTTTTACTAAATGCATATGTATGTTTACACGGTACATATGTAAAAATAACATTTTTTACAATTTTTGTCTGTCTGTTTGTTCCGGGTAATCTCTGGAACGGCTGGACCGATTTCGACGGGACTTTCACTGGCAGATAGCTGATGACATATGGAGTAACTTAGGCTACTTTTTTTAGACTAGCTTTGCCCCGCGGCGTTGCCCGCGGTTATAACAACAAACGCGGGTAACACCGCGGGTCTCAGCTAGTAGATAATAAAAGTAAAGAAAAAGATAATAGATGTTTGTTACTCAGTCAGGCCAGAGCTTCTAAATACTCGTATATCTGGATGACATTTGACGCAGAATAGTACGGAATAGCACATAGGCTACATTTATCCCGAAAAAATGGGTCAATAATAACATAAACGAAGACACGGCCAAAAGCTAATAAATAGTATAATGTTTCTCCTTCTTTATATGAGCACCATTAATATGTTTACCTATTTCCGCTTTACACCGTGCGACGTGGGAAGCAATATTGCACATTTATGATATTGAGGATAAAAGGCAATTAAACACATTTGTGTTTATTGGACTCAAGCGGCGTTTTGTAAACATATAATATTGACCACCCACGTGCCGTTTGTTGTTAACTGTTTGTCGAGCTATGAAGGTACTAATGTTTCTTCTTTAATTGAGAAATGAGTGTGAATCTGTTAAGTGAATAAAATAACAAATATTGCATTTTGATAACTCAATTAGTTTAACCAACATGGAGGCGTTTGTTTTATATGACAACTGGCAACTTCAGAATTTTAGGTAAGGACTTAATAATCTACGACATTTCAGATAATTCATAGCAAATTGGAACGTAACATGTGGAACACTTAAAATTAAATTAACACAAAAAAGTGCAGGCAGCTAAAACCTATTAAACAATATGTGACAAAAGAAACACAATAACGGCTACACCAAGCTACGCTTCATTTGTATAATGGAGACCTTTCACGTTATTGAGAAAATGTGGCTATGGTCGAATTTTGAACACCCGGCAATCTCTAGTTAGTTCTATACTAAAATTTCATCATTACAAATAAAAAACAGGCAAAACAGTACCTTATCGGGTTGTCGATCGATTTCCTTTTCTTTTTTTATTGTTAACGATAAAAATACTTAAAATGTTTTTTCAAGAAGTAATAAGAATAATAATAGTTATAGTCCGATTTTGAATCGTAGGCAAATACTAGTCATAATATCAATAATTTGAGACTTCTGTCAGACGACCAATGGCACAACATCGTAATATGGTAACCTGGCTGTAGGAAAATAATCTAATAGGTACATACATATTACAAATAAATTACTGTCCGAAACAGAACAGATAATCGTGTACCATTACGTTATTATTTGACCTTTGTGGGAATCAATCCCTAAACTGATAACATTTGGCTGAGTAGTAATAAACACTAACCAACGGGACAACCACTCACTGTTGCTTTCAAGGAATAACTTTTTTTTCTAACTTCAGTTTCATTTGATTTTCATCATTCTTTTGTCCAATCTATCTAAATATATTTTACAATTTAAAAAGATAGATTGTAAAGACACCGAAGGTTGTTAAGAAAATTTGTTGAGTCGTATGTATCTGTTCCGCAGGTGACTTCAGCTCTGTACCTGGGGCTGGGCAAGAGCATGTGGCCGAGACTGGAGTACTTAGCGAAGCTGTCGGACGTGCTGATGTTGCTCAACTACGTGCTGAACCCCATCCTGTACGTGCAGCGACGAAGGATCTCGCTCGCCAACCTGTGCAGCAACATCGCGCACTGTTTCAAGCGGGCAAGTTACAATTATCTCTAAAATATAAACGAAGTACATATACAGTGGCAACCTTACACTACCGCACAAATAAATTGAAACATTACTAAGTATTTACAGACACCTGCTAAATACTGCAGCTAACTGAAAGAATTTTCTTTCAAATGGTATTGGTAATGGTTCATCTATTGGTAATTAATAAACCGAGTAATCCTGCTATAATGTCTATTATAATGCATCAGTGTTGAAAATTGTGTTGTTTAGACTAAGGATACCTGCAGATTAAAGCGACTGAATTGTAGATTTTTACAAATACTTTTGTAGAATTAATATTACAAAGCGTAAGGTTTTTCGAAATAGTTCAAATTGTACTAGTTAGATGGCGATATCGAAGACTGGACGTCAACATTGTTGATGTAGGATCATCATTTGTTCTCGTTGCCACAACTATTGCAAAATTACTATTACTTCTTACTGTGACGAGACTGAACCTTTAAAAACTGATTATCTACTTCAGAAGAGTTAGTGATCTGATTACCGTGGCCACTGGGTCTCGTTTATGTGACCAAAAAGGCAAACTGGCTGAAGGCATCATTGCTGAAAGCGCTGCGATCTGCTATAACAAGTAAATAAAATATGATGGCTGGTACATCCCGCTCGTGGCTCGATTAGTGAAAGAGTGTGATGATAGCCCTATTGATTTGCGGGTGCCGATCACTTGGAAGTCGCTATGGTGCGTACGGAATGTAATGGTATAAAGGGTAAAATAACAATAACGATAAGTATTATTAATTAATTACAGAACCACAAAACATCGACGGAGTCGATGAAGACATCGTGTTGTCCCGAGACCCTAATAGTGAGCGACAGCTCGGTCGCGGAGATGCGCCCCTTGCGCCCCCTCATCAGCCCCGCGCCCGCCCTCGGACTCGCCTCGAACCCCTCCGCACAGACCTTGAAGATCGACGACTGACACACGAAGCATCACAAACATTGTGACATACACACTCGTCAACAAACCGTCGACACATTTAGACACAGTGGAAAACCTTATAAAGTGTTTACTACTGTACCGAATTGAGACTGAATCATTGTACACTCCATGTCTACAAGCTCTTTAAGCTCCCTCAGCGGTCGTATAAAAATATACTTTATTATGTACCTAATTTTAAACATTGTTAGTGCCAGGCCGCACACAAAATGTACACAAAGAATTTCACACCAAGTTTTGGTTTATGACGATTAAAGTGAATTCAATAAAAATTAATGACGGAGCGTGATGTTTGAAGCTAAGGTGTAGATATTTCTAAGACCAAAGCTACAACTTATTTTATTCTGTTTTATCTGTCTTAGCTGTTCAACTGAAATGCGCATGCGTGTGATTAAGTGATTACCTAAATAAAAAGTTTCGTGTGGAATCTCAAGCGGTGCGAACTATACGAGTACGTAGCAATTAATAGGCATAGTACGAGTAGTTTACCTAGTCTTAATGATATTATTATGTAACATAAGTTTAAAAATAGCCTGTAAGTTCATCACAAAGCTCTAAAACAGCCGCCCATGCGAATACATCAATATGAATATATTATATATGTATATAGGAAAGTAATACGACTATTTAGATTAAATTTTCAATCACAAATGTTTAGAAACGAAGAGTGTAAATAAAAATGTTCTGCTTTGACTGATTTTATCAGCGATTTTTATGTAGACCGTTTTATTTATTTCACTTGAAAGCAGGTTTTGCAACAAAAAACGATGCATTTTTAGCAAGCTAAGTGTGCAGTGATGTTTAAGTAACAAATATATGACTAATTCATATATCACAAAATCCTAAATCAGGTAGTGTACTTACTAGATTAGTAATATATGGTAGGGGAAGGTGGGGCAGCCTCATACAGTTTTTATATTTCGTGTTATAGAATTTACTCTGGTATCAATATCTGTACCGATTCATCAAAAAGTAGTAGTTTAACTATCTGACTTTATTTCAATAACATGTAATTTGTGTAAATACACATATGCGACTTTTAATAAAAGTTTTAAAAAAATAATTAAAATGTATGAATGTACCCCACATGCGGGGCACTCTCATACAGGCTATGGGGCAGATTCATACATGTAAAAAATACACAAGTTTAGCATGAAAAGTTTAATTATTCATCAAAATAAAAGTATCAAACCACAAGGTTCTCGAAAACAAAAGCAATTAGTCTATATGAGCAACTAATACTAAGTAATAACCAAATAATACTAAGTAAAAAAGAGAATAACATAAATGTAGGTAGTTTTTCTTTTTATGACACTGAAGGAAGTTAGTTAGCCTAACAGTCTTTCTTGATTTCTTTGATTATAAATATTAAGTGTTTTTCTTGGATTGGAAACCTGCCATGCGTCATTGAAAGCTGTTTTTAATTTCGACTTTAATGGTCCAAATACTGCAACATCTAGTGCTTGAAGGCGGTGAGTCGTGTGAGGTGGAAAGGAAAGGCACACAATCCCATTGTCACGGCAGTAGTTGATTGTATCAATAGAAATGTGACTTTCATGGTTGTCATATAAAAGGAATATTGGATTTTCTTTCGAACATAAGGTGTGTCTCTGAATGTGCTTTAGAACATCAACAAAAATGCTCGAGTTTATCCAACCACTTCTCGTGGCTACACCTAAAGAGCCTTCTGGAGCATCTTCTATGAAGTGGTCCTTAAAATGTACTCGAGGGAAGATGAATAAGGGCGGTATGGTGTTTCCACTTGCTGAAATAATACTTACCACCAAATGTGACCAGTTCTCCTCTTTCGGCAGACACTATTTGACCAATCTGTTTTTGGCTCTTGTCATCAAAAATTTTGGGTGTGCTCAGAACAGTAGAAATACCAGATTCATCGTTTTTGAAAATCCGGCATTTAAATTGTGTTTACGGTATATATTCTCTAGGATCTGGAAGAAATAAAAATGTGGAGCACATTCATACAGTATGAATGTACCCCGCTTACTGCTGTATGAACCAACCATCACAAGAAAATGAAATAAAAATATTCCTAAAAAAAAATCAACTATAAATATCATTATTCACGTATCAATTTACAAACTTGATCCTATTACCTTTTGAATAAAATAGTACTGAAAAATCAAGAAAAAAGCTTTTATTAAAAAAAAGATGTTTAAAGTGAGGTTTTAAAATTACTTACGCGTGGCCGAATCACGTTCCATGTCACCTCATCGCGAATTTCCCACCGACTGTTGTCAAACTCCGTGAGCCAATACACACATAAGTAAGCTACGCGTACACGGATAAGTCGTTCAGTTGATGTGGGCCTAACAACAGATGTATCTAGTGTATGACGGTGCCCCTTGTATGAATCTGCCCCACTCCCGCCTATCTGCTGCGGTTAGCGCCAGTTGCTTACAACGCTTCTATGATAGAACATCTAGATACTAGACATGTCTGCAAGTTGACTGAATAAAATGAAGAACGAGTGAAGTATTTCAAATTTCCCCTATTTGTTCTTATTTTGTTAAGAAAGACCCTCTGGGTCACTGCATTCGGTTCGCCCGTTGCCCATGTATCTACACATTCATTATCACAAGACGATCAAAGAGCATATTTTAAACTGCAAATAAGTGAAAAACTAGTCGTCATTTTTAGTTACCCGTTATGTTAAGGATTTATAATGAGAGAGTTAGCCGCCAACCGACTACATACCTACTGCGCACGAATTAACGTTTGTTTCGAGAACAATGTCTGCAACGGTTGGAGGCTAAATCGTTCATGAATATTTGAAACCCATCGAACTATATATGTATGATCTACCGAGATACTCATAGTATAAAACTAGTTGTGTATACATTACCTTACCGACCCTACTAATGGTTTTGTACCAATATGTTATTTCCTTAACCATTTTGAATACTTCTCATGGTTCGTCACTTTGTGATTATAAAGAAAGGCGAAGCTCGAAGATTTAGTTGGAATTAAAAAAAGAAATACCGATTAAAAAAATGTCAGCAAAAAAATAGTACCTATTGCTTAGCAAAATTAAAAACACAACAAGGTAATTTTCTTTTGTTTTAGAAGTAAAATATTGGCAGCATTCTATTTTGTAATAATTTATAGCATGACTTGAATTTATGTAATACGGCATACTATTTTTTCATTTAATATTGAGGGGGTTTTATCCTTTCATATATGACAACCCTCTTGTAATCTACTTTACGACAATTATGATTTTCTAAATAAATGGCTTTAGATAAAAATGCAATTAGGTATAAATGTAAATTTTTGTGAATGTTTTGTCGTAAGAACATAATATTCTATAAATATATAAATAGACTAGGTAAGTAATGAGTTTAGTAACATAGTACAAGATAAATATAATATACCTACCTATACATACGATAGCAAGTCAGTAATACTCAAGACACAATAATCTGTTGTAGTAGCCACCCCTAAAATATACTAAATAACGTTGGGTTCACTCAGCCGAATAAGCAAGTCTTTATCTTATAAGAAACCTTATTTTTTATTTTAATAACGATTAAAACACAATAAACCCTAGTCCTTTGCACCTATGCGTGTAGCAATGTATATGTTAATTAAAAGGACGTTGACGTCACATGTCACATTGTATATAAGGCTAAAATAGTCAGTATGATTGCGAGACTGCAAACACCAACAAACGGATAATTACGTCATTAACCGATAAACAAAGCTGACAGCTGTCAGTAAACATCATACATGTCATATTCCTACGTATAGACTCTGGAGTGTAGAGGCCCTTCTCATATGGGGGAACCTTCAAAAAGTGTTCAGCTGTATACTGAAAATAACAGCATAGAACATAGCTGTAGTAAACGAAGTGAAGTGTGCCGAGTTAAAATATTATAATACTTTTACACCTTTATTTATTGTCTGTAAAACTCATTGACTATTTTGCAGTCCAGTACAGTGTCTAATTATTATTTAAGGCAATATACATTTATCTTAGGCTACCGCAACCATAAGGGTGGCCCTTATTAAGTGCGTGTTTGAGGATACTTTTCATACACAGAGATGGTTCTCCTAGCCTCCACCCTCCATAGTATAGACTCACACTACTCTATGGCTCACGGTGAGTTTATCGGTTATAAACATTATTAAACTCAATTAGCAGAGATGCGAATATTTTAGTAAACAATTTTAAATGTAATTCTTCTAGTTTTTTTTAATCATTTGTTGCTGTTATGAAGTTTACATTTAAATTAAAATCAGTTTGCCATTTGTCAACGTCCCTAAGGCACACATACTTATAGGTTTAATAGACAATTGTTGTTTCTATTTCAGTAAAATATAATTACGTATACCTGGTGTTTTATTTTTGTACCGACAGAAGACAGCAGTCTCTCCAATCACAGTTGGCCCCCTCTAGCTCTTAAGTCTCGTTCCACATCCCAGAATTAACCTAACGTATGCCTTACGCGAGGTTTCTTGCCCTATATGTTTTCCTCATCCAGATCTACCTTCTTACTTTGTCTCGCTTCAAAATGATTACATTCCCAAAGAGAGTTAGAGTTAGGCAGGCAGCTGGCCATCAAAGAAAGAAGTTCTTTGCCATATTACATGTTGCGCCGTCTCCAAACACATCCGTGTGTGAGATATATTATTATTATTTATATCATTGGGAAAATATTATCATGATGATGATTGTCACGTGTTTCTTTTGTATAGACGCACAAGGTATGGCCATCAGACGGTAGGTGAGATGTCAGATTACACAATAAAAATCCCCCCTCTTTACGCATTCAGAACAAATAGGGTGTAAATAAAACAAGTTGAAGTCGCAAGTGATCTATTTTACACTCCTTAAAAAATATGCTAAACATTGTTATCTTATATTCATAATATTAAGGTATAATTTGTTCTCTAAAATAATTATAATATATAAATAAATGATCAACTTAACAAGAAAGTTTGACTAGCTAGCTTAGCTCCTGGTATTCACGGGCGCGCTCACCGTTTTGTTCGAGGAACCTGCAGCTACAGACAGTACCTAGCGGACCGTGGAAGCTGCTGGTGGATCATTTTATTTTAAATCGAAGCGTACGTAATACTTGAACAGCCCCTATTAACATTTTATCCAGGGTCATGAATTTCAAAGCACTTCCTTACTCTCCTTTGATCTTACTTTGTTCGTCTTTAATATTGGTAATATTTTTAGATAACTGGCTGCAAAATGCCATAAACTATAAATTTAGTAATTAGCATGAATTAATTTCAATGAGTGATTTCATTACAATGGAGATAATTTATACATAATTTAATTTAAGTTTACAAAATAAAAACGCGTAACTATATGTTAATATAGTTCCAACTCATCGATAAATCGTCTGTAAATGCCGTGCGCCAAAACTCGGGCAAGAACAAAACACAGCCTACTACTATTAAGTAACGGACAGTTTTGGTCAAAAGACCATCATCAATTTCATCGTTCATCAATTTTATTTATAATACTGATGAAGGTTTCATAAAAAAAACTTGAAATAATAAATAACTAAAATTAGAACTAAATACTTAAGTACTCAACTGTTTAGTACTCGTGTCGTGCTTAATGAATTTACTTACTATTGTATAATTTGTAATAAATCAAAAATCATGATCATATAAAATTGCTTCTATTTATGTTAATAATAAAAATAACCATAAGTGTTATCTTCAAACAGGCAATTAATTTTACAGCTTAACATAATAATTTTATAATAACAAATATGGGTGTAGCAGATTAGATTATATCCTAAAAATATAGAAATACACCCAAACTAATATTTTTCCGTCTACGTCCCCACCCTCCTGATATGCCTCTGTACTTACACATCTACACCAACAGCTTCCGCTACCGAAATTGTTATTCTCGATATTAGTGAGATAGGTGTCGTACACGACACACAAGCGTGCGCGTGCGCAGGTCAGGCTCGGGTCAGAGATGCGACGCGTTCGTGAATAGCAAGTACCGTACCACATGTGCCGCGCACACCTACATAAGTCGAGCTTAACTTGACTAATATTGTCATTATGTAAGGTTACAATCGCAAACTCGAGCGCGCGCGTGGACACGCTGCCCCCCTCCCCCTCTACACATTCTAAATGATCATAAAAAAAACATGTCCAAACCATTTTAACTGCATGACTTCTTTGTATTTTTGTGAAAAAAAAGGAACGAAAAACAAAAAAATAATAATTCGGATATTCTCGTTGTGGATACTGGCAGACTGTTTGCTAATACTAAAATTAAGTTGGTGATCTAAACAGTCAAGAATTATACGTTAGAACGCATCTTTTAAGAGCGGCCTCAGAATTAGACCAGTATTTGCCGTTAAGTAACTATTCAACATTGGAATCCGCGCTGTCCACGTGTGCACTCACTACAGGAACTAATTACAGTGTTACATACAATCTGTTTTGTGTCGCCGAAATTTAGTCACAATAATATAATTTTATTTAACATTACCGATAATGATAATTGCTTATTTATTAATTTGTTTTAAACCTTTGAACGTCACCAGTCGTCGGGATGTCACAGCGTATACTAAATATATACATTTACTATAGAGGGTGTCACATTTGAGATGATAAACTAGATACGGGCTGTATAACGATGTACGGCACCCATGCGATAAGGTGACATTCAAAATTTAAAACTATAACGTTAGTTATTAAAAATGTTATCGATCGTATAGATCGGTGAACGTCGGAGCTGGTCGCGGCCGCAACGGAAGGACACATTTGAGCTAACGATCATTTGTATAAAGTCGTGCACCGTTTTATATTAACACGTGGGTGCATTTCAGACGCCGATTTGGACTATCTACACAAGCGTAAAGCGAATACGTTGAAATCGATCAATATAAAACGAACATCCGCGAACATGATAAGTTTTTGTGATCGCGTCTTCCTCTTAAACAAAATAATAATTTAATAAATGCTTACTCAGTGTGAGATATAACATGAGATCGTTCTCCTATAGTGTCCCGGGTACATCTCCTCATCGGAAACCGCTTTCGGTGGCGGGTACGTCTAGCACAATCTAAATATTTCTAGCGGTGAACGTTGAACGGAATATTATTTTGGTCGAAAGCATCATACAAAACCATAAAAAAAGCTACCCAACACTCATATCACACATAAATCGCCGATAACATAGTCATCTCCGATTCTGCTGTGGTAATGTTCCATCTCTCTCTGCGTCTCTCCTTCGAACGAGGCAAGATGACTTTGATTGGGATTCGGATCCAGAAAAATGATTTACCTGTGTAGGTACGTGTTAGCGTTACGCACGTCGCTTTGCTCGACCTTATATCGAGCGACGGGAGGAACACGTGGCTCGTGCGCGCGACGTACCTAGGCGGTGCGCGGCGCGTCGAGCGAGGCGGCGGGCGCGGGGGCGGAGGCGGGGGCGGGGGCGGTAGCGGGAGCGGGGGCGGGCGCGGAGGCGGCGGCGAGCGCGGCCGAGAGCGCGGGCGCGGGGGGGCAGGGCGCGGGCGCGGGAGGCGGGGGGTGGATGTTGAAGTGGCGCACCGCCGCCTCCAGCGCCACGTTGTTGCCGCTGAAGTACGCCGACACCGCGTTGTGGAACAGCAGCAGCTGCTTGTTCATCACCTTCACCTGCGACACGACAGCGCCCCTCTGAGTATCCCGAGAATCGCCGAGACTCGCCAAAAAAATCAACAAGTAACCTTTCTCCGGTAATTGTGACTCCGCTGGTCTATTTTTCATGTACCTATTCTACTTCTATTTTAAAGTGTAATAAAAGTTAAAGTGTATGTATATGTGAGTCGGCCTACAGTTTTACCGAAAGAAACGGAGTCAAAGCGACCGAGGAGCGTTAGCTTAAAGCCCTCGGTACACAAATAATATAAGTATAATATGTTGAGGTGATGAGTAATAACGCAGTTGATTTTAGTTTTAAGTTTTAATTCTGAGATTTTGGCGTTTCACATGCCACATGTTATATCTAACCTTTTAGTGAGCTGAGTAGTGTTGCTACATAAAAACAGTGTTATACCATTATTATACTAGAGAGGGACTTGGCGAATATTCTTATAAAATTCACTAAATCATAACTTTAACACCCCCTCTTCATTTTGCAAATTTTATAAACTTTACAGTTACATACAACTTACAATTTTAAAAATTATTTTAAATCAAAACAAAATATCAATTTACAATTTCTTTCTTAAACTTATGAAATTTAACTGTATCCAACGGTTTAGTTAGTATATCAGCGGTTTGACTTTACATCTACATCTACTTTCTCCTTAATAAAATAATATTTGACTTCTATGTGTTTGCTTTTTCTTCGCAAAATACCATTCTTTATCAGCTGAATCCAGCTCTGGTTATCGAGATTCAAGCTGCAATCTATGTCTATGCCAATTATTTCTTTAATCAAAGTCTTGATAAACATTAATTCTGCGCAACATTCAGCGGCGCTGACGTATTCACTTTCTGTGCTTGATTTTGTTACGTTAGATTGGCGTCGTGAAGCCCAAGAGATTGGGCCTCCACAGAAGAAGATTATGTAGCCTGTAGTGCTTCTTCTTGTGTCACGGTCTTCTGCCCAATCTGCATCAGAATAGGCTTCAAGATGCAATTGTCCATTTTTATTGAAGGTGATGCCTTCTGATTTTGTCCCATTGAGGTAACGAAAGATCCTTTTCACGTTAGCCCCATGTCTTGATTAGTTGGGTTTTGAAATTTTCGACTGGCATAACCGACTGAAAAAGCCAAATCCGGTCTTGTTTTATTAGATGCATATAGCAGTGAGCCTACTGCTTCTCTGTATTTGAAGGCTTCTTGCGTTTCCTCATTCGCATCATCGTCGTTGAATTTTACCATTGGAGTAGGCTTTGGTTTACTATCATGCATGGAGAACCTCTCCATAGCTCTCTCTGCATAGCTCTTCTGTGTCAGTTTTAATAAACCTGCGTCGCGATGAATTTCCATTCCTAAGAATGATGTAGGGTTTTCTGATGCTTGTATCTCAAATTTAGATTCTTTTTTCATCAGAATTGTCCTTAATTTATTTATGTCTTTTCCAACAATTAGTCCATCATCAACGTACAAGGCTAAAATGATGTCATGCTCATCATTTTTGAAGACGCATGGGTCTGACTTGGTTGGTTTGAGATTGACATCCTTCAAAAATTGGGTGAATCTTTGAATTCATTTTAGTGATGCTTGCTTTAATCCGTATAGTGATTTTAATAGTTTACAATTTTTTCCTGTCTTCTTATATCCTTCTGGAATCTCCATAAATTCTTCTGGAAGCTTCATCAATTTCACCATATAAAAGTGCGGTTTTGATGTCGAATTTTATGATGCGATAGTCCTTAGCTGCTGCCAATGCAAAAATTATTCGCATCGAGCTGGAGTTGATCACGGGGCTAAAGGTCTCTTCGTAGTTTAGTCCGTATTCCTGTTCAAATCCACGAATAACAAGTCTAGCGCGGTATCTACCTTCATCTTTCTGTTTGAAAACCCATTTATTGGTCAGGATTTTATTTGTACGGGCTTCTTCTCGATTTACTAAAATCCATGTCTGATTTTTCTCAAGCGAATCTTTCTCATCATGGATAGCTTCTAGCCATTTGTTTTCATCTGATCCAGATACAGCTTCAGCGAAAATTAACAAAGCATAATTCTGAAGATATGCTGGCACTTTCCTGATCCTCTTCCCACGTCCAAGTACTTCTGGCCTCTTGAATTTCATTTGGTGAATTTTCTCCTTCAGGTGGTGTCTGAAAGCATAATTCTGAAGATATGCTGGCACTTTCCTGATCCTCTTCCCACGTCCAAGTACTTCTGGCTCTTGTATTTCATTTGGTGAATTTTCTCCTTCAGGTGGTGTCTGAAAGCTTTCATGGTTTTCACCTTCAATCTCTTCTTCGCTTTCTTCTTGATGTTCTATTTCTTGATTTTTTTCAGATAATGTTACTGTGCCTTGGTTTTCTTGATTTTCATTTTCTTCATTCAATGTTGGTACCGTTGTGTCATAATCTTTGTACTCCTCTAAGTCTAAAACTCTTATATTTTCATAATTTTCATTGTTTGACTTTGAGGCCATTTCATCTTCGAAAATCACATCTCTGGCGTAGATGATTTTCCTGGAGTTTGAGTCCCATAGACGGTAACCATTAGGTTGGTAACCAACATGGATAAGCTTTTTACTGCGGCTGTCTAACTTCTTTAGTTGATTTAAAATTTTAACATGGGCGATACACCCAAATAAATGCATTCTCTTAAGGTCTGGCTTCTTGGAGAACCACATTTCATACGGGGTCTTGCCATCAGGGAGTGCTGCTGTCTGGCAACGGTTCAAAATGTAACATGAAACTCTTGCTGCTTCACCCCACATTTCGGCTGGCAATCCACTATCAAACAATAGTGCCCGTGTTTTATCCATAATCATCCTGTTTAGTCTTTCGGCCTTGGCATTCAACTGTGGAGTGTGGCTGATTGTAACATCCATCATGATGCCTTTGGATTTGGTCCACCTTTTCATGTCTTGATGTATGTACTCTCCACCTCCATCACATCTGATTTTTGAAACAGGAAGATTCCACTTTGACTCCACTTCAGCAACATAGTCTTTGATGTGCTGAAAGGTCTCTGACTTTTTAGTCAGAAGATATATCTGCTTGAAACATGTGTAGTCATCATAAAAAGTCAAAATGTACCTGTAGTTGTTCCAAGTAGGAACTTCAACTTGACAAATATCTGTGTGTATTATCTCTAAAGGACGAGTTGCTCTGATCCTTTTGGATGGGAATGGCAGGCGTGTCTGTTTAGCTTTGACGCATATCTCACAAACTTTATTATTGTTTGCAACATTTGGGGATAGTCCGAGAGTATTGTCTTCATCAAGTTTCTTTAGATTTTTATAGCTCAGATGGCCAAAAATTCGGTGCCAGTACTCATCGTTTTCGATGGTTTTTGATGCTCGAAGACACTGCACTCTGGTGGATTTTTCTGGAACTAGGACTACTTTGTACAAGCCATTGTACTGTCTGTCCCCTCTTATCACGCTGTTTTCCTTGGTGATTAATACCCCGTTCTTGGTGAATTTGACATTTCCTCCATTTTTTGTGATCGCTCCTACTGATATTAGGTTGCTGTCTAGACCAGGAACTAGCAATGTATTTTTCATGATACATTCTGTCATGTCTAATGTACCAGACCCTATGGATTTTATGGCGACATCCTTCTGAGCAACCTGAATCACATCATGACCTTTCTTGGAATCACTCAGCAATGAAGCATCATTAGTCATGTGGTGAGACGAGCCTGAATCTACAAAAAATGCAACACCAGTTTTACATTTGTTAGTGTCATTGTTGGTGGTGTGCGACAGGTATGCTACCTTCTCTTTCTTTTCTGGTTCCCTTTTCATATCTTTCTCTAAAATAACAATCTTCTGATTTATGGTTTTGTTTCTTACAATACTTACAGCGCTTTATGTTTGGATTCTTGGGACATGTTCGGACGAGATGGGATTCTGATTCACAGAGATGACACTTCAATCTGGGTAGATTTTTCTCACCTTTTCTGCTTTTGTAGCCATCTTTCTTCTTTGTAGTTTTGAAAGCAACTTTGTCATCATTCTCTGGGTTCTCGCGTTGCTTATTGGACCTCTCTAAAGCCATAAAACGTGTGGTGAGATGTGACACTGTTCTTTCATCTTTAGATGCTGACTGCCATGAAGGTATAAAATATTGATAGGACTCGGGGAGTGCAGAAAGTATTCTCTGGACCATTTCGGCATCTTCAATTTCATGACCTGCATTTTTCAAACGAATTTTAAGGTTTTCGAGATCAGCGATCCCCTTGGCTATATCAGTCGTCATGCGGAAATTGAAATACTCCTTTAAAAGTTCTCCTTTCAACGCCTCAGTATCTCCTTCATATAGGTCACACAACTTTCTATACATCGCGTTGGCACTGTTACACGACATAATTATCTGCTGATTTCTCTTGCTAATCGTTGTAGCAATAGCTTTCTGCGTATAGCAATAGCTTGCATCTTTCTTAAGATCATCCGATGATTCCAACGCTTCTAATGCACACGCGCAATTTAAAGTTATCTTTAGTTGGAATTTCCATAAAGTGAAGTTTTCTGGGCTGTCCAACAACTCGAGGCTACTGCCAAAATCGTTTTTACTTGACTCACTAGTCATCTTTCTTCGATTTGTCGACAAAATATGCGAAATACGGGTTCTTGTATGGGCGGTAAAATGACAGAGTTACCTAGTCACTTTTACGCACTGTTTACAAGTTTTTATCACTTGTAATCAAACAATTGTCACATTATCTGATACACTATTGTCCTGGGCCCATAACCTGTTGAGGTGATGAGTAATAACGCAGTTGATTTTAGTTTTAAGTTTTAATTCTGAGATTTTGGCGTTGCACATGTCACATGTTATATCTAACCTTTTAGTGAGCTGAGTAGTGTTGCTACATAAAAACAGTGTTATACCATTATTATACTAGAGAGGGACTTGGCGAATATTTTTATAAAATTTACTAAATCATAACTTTAACATAATATAGGGTAGTCAGATCGGTGACACCGCTCCGACTACGGTGCGCACGTACCCTGTTCTCGTGGAGCAACTTGAGCTTGACGGCGGAGTCGTCCCGCAGCCGCTCGTAGTGGCGGCGGTGCCGCTCGATGTTGGCGAGCAGCAGCTCGGGCGGGTTGCCGCCGCTGCCCTCCAGCTCGCTGCGGTACGCGTCGTACTCCACCCTGGACCGTTTATTTCCATTGAGTCGGACCGTGGACCGTCCGTCGTGATATTTTTTAGTACAAAATATGATCTCACCTCGCGGCCTCGTACTGACGGATGGTGAGCAGAGTGTCTTCGATAGTTTTGTTGGTGAGCGTGTTGAGGGAGTTGTTGAAGAAATGCAACGCGGCCAGCAGCGTCTCCCCGTTGCGCGTCAAGGTGCGCTGCGTGTCGGCGTTGTACAGGAACCTGGAGGACGGACGAGTCGAATGAGTGTGAGCGGCGGGGAGAGGGGGCGGGGGAGAGGCGGCGGCGCTACGTACTGGTTCTGCAGCTCGGGCGACTTCTGCGCGAGCTCCGCGAAGGCCTCGCCGAGCGCGCGCTGCGTGTGCGCGGCGGCGCCGAGCTGGGCCGTGAGCGCGGCGGCGAGGCGCAGCACGCCGTTGTACTTGCGCTGCGTCTCGCGCAGCATCTCGATCTGGGCCTCGAGCTCTGCAACGAGCGGACCGAGCCGTACACCTTTGTAGATATAACCCTCCCGACGTATGACGACGTGAGGTGTAACGGTGGAATTGTTTTTTTTAGTTCTCCTTATCTTACCTGTATCGACGGTGCGCGAGCTCTTTCCGAGCTTCTCGTACAGTATCTGTTTGGTGCACTTGTATGTGGACACTCCCCAGTTGCGGATGGCGTCCAGCTTCGTGGAGCCCGCCCGCAGCAGAGTGCCGGTGCCGGCGCCGCCGTTCTGAGACACGTCTGGAGGAGCTGTAGAATAGTGGGTAAATATACTTAAAAAATTTTTGCAATCTATTAAACTAATATGCACTAATATTTGTACAATTAAGGAAAGCGGCTCCGAGCCCTGAATAGACCTCTCCCTAGTGATGGCTAAGATGGGCCCGTAACTAATTTTTTGTACCTTAACTTTTACACGAAACACTCTACCTCATCCAAAAACTGATAATGAGCTAAATAAGATTGTAATGTAATTCCTCGATTCTGTCACACTATATGACCTTAAAGTTGAAAAGATAAAGGGCCACCAAATATGTTAACGTATATATATGTATATATACACACACAAATGATACTGTAAACATATATACATACATATACTCATACACTTTAGTAAAGGAGTAATTACTAAACCATCCATAACACATTTGTCTGAGTTAATAAATAACACTATTCAACAAGTATTGTATACCACAAACAATACCTACCCAATGCCATTTATTGAGGAGCTCATTCAATGAATGAGTCACAACCCTAATTTATATGTTCTTGAAGATAGTTAACCACTTGCAGTTTAGCACACAAAAACTAAACTATTTACGAGCTACCTGACATGTTCTAAAGCTTTATTGAAATAATATTTCAAAAAAAAAACCTATGATGTATACAACACAACACCAAATAACATTTGTTCTAATTTTGGTATTATAGGTTTATAATTGATTTACGCTTTGTCTATTATTCAATTATTGTTTAATGGAATATTTAAATGGAAATTAATATCATGGATTCTGTCAATAGTTTGTAATTAGTGTATATCATCTAAGTATTCTTGTATGCTGTAGTAGCTTTTACTTACTAGGATTTTTTTTAGTTTATTTACAAAGATGTTCATTTTTTCTTCTTTTCAGAGCCCATCTCTGCAAACTTATTATATATTTTTATTGACATGACCAAGGGACCTGAGGAATGCATTGCTAGACGGGAGGTTAAGTCTATTTTTGTGCCTTAGTGTGTATCTGGTCTGTATATTTTTTCTAGTAGAGTAGTGTTTCAGGTTTTTCCAGTCAAATTTACAAATTTCTAAAATGAATATAGACGGTAAAGTTAATATTTTAGGTTTTGGAAATGGGGTTTACATTTGTCTGTTTTTTCTACATTCACTAAAATTCTAATTAGTTTATTTTGTTGAAAATACATTTCTTGTGATTTTTGTTTAATAAACTTAAACAGCATTCATAAATATACTAACCATATGCCGGTGGGAAGGGCATGGACCGCGAAGTAGGGAACTTGGCTTCTGTTCCTGATGTGATAGAATCACTGGATTCTCGAATTGGTGGTGTGTCTTTTAACATCTCATGAATGCTGCGCTCTGATTGCCTGCAGACAGATGTATACAGTCACTGGCCAAACATGCTAGCAAACTAGCAAAAATAATTTTGTAGACATGTAGAGAATGTCAAAGTATTGAAACTGCTCTTATTCAAAATGTTAAGAAATGCAATCACCATAAATGTACTGCTCAAGATATAACTTATATTTCAGTATTTAGTTAAGAAGACTTAATATCACAGTATATACTGCACTACAGTACAACAGTTCCCAAATAATAATTATTCACATATGTAGACTTTTGATAAATTTTATAAACAATTTTAAGTGTATTGATGATTTTACTTTAGATGATATTTAGTTTCATATAATTAATTATGGCAATTTAGTAAGTGATGCTAAATACTCTAAATTTCAAAATATCATTAATTTTATAATAATATTAATTTTGTTTATTATTTAATATGCATGCCTAAACAGGCATAACATGGCTTGAAGCCCAAATTATCGAACAGTTTAGATATTAGTTGTTATTCACCTGTGTTCAGCAATAAGTAAATGGTAAAAATAATCTTAAAAAGCACTTTAAAAATAGATTACAATATATCGTGAAGATAAACAGTATCACTCCGGTAAGTAATAACATAAACTTGTTAAATGATGACACACCATTTAGACATTTTGGCAGAGTTTTTCCGTCTTCTACCAGTAGATGCAGAGGTTACGGCCACGGGCTTGTATTTGTTTAGATATGTTGAAAACTTAACATATTATTGAGTGAAAACTAAAAAATGATTTAAAAATTAACCAGTCGACGCTATATGTACACTTTTGACACTTGACAAATATATATACCCCTCTACTTCCATCCCCCCACCTTTTCTCGTATTGACAGCAGCTGAAAAGTTAGTGTCGTTGACATGTAAGAGCAAAAGAGAGAAAGACATAGAGAGAGATAAATTACTTTACAGTTTACACCTAACTGTATTTCTTTACTAAAAATACTAGGTATAAACATTGTGAAAAAAAGAAGTAATAAAATGTTTTTATATAGTCCTTATAAGTGTAATACACCTTTCTTTTTACGTCTGGATACCCCCTCGGGCCGTCACCCTACCGGTGTTTGCGGCGGTGTGGTGCGTCGGAATCGGACCAACTATTAACGGGATTATCCGAAGTTCGTAGAGGGGAAGGTTAGGTTCTCGATAAAACTTTAATCTGATAACTTGCTCTATTTTCGAGAGGGCGATCATCTGTCCCAATTTAGTGTCGGCTTCTTGGTACACAAGTCCCCGGTAAACAACGTTTACAAGATTGAGTGTGTCGTCGTGCGTAAACTCCTGAGGAGGAATAATTTATGATGTTCTTATAACACAAATGGAAAATTAGGTACTTGTCCAGGCAAGATCAACGCGTCTGATTGTAGAACAAAAACTCTTTTAAAACCACGATATTCAGTACGGTTGAGAACGGTTTTTTTTTTATACGCTTTTCCCCAATCATAGTACATCGGGACCTTGTTACACTTGTACCAGATGCCTATCTATTTATATAATGTTGTACACACAATCCCTTGGATGGGATTTCCGCTTTATATTATTACTACTATTTTACATTGTTACGGTTACTTGTATTACATTGTTCTTTTAGCATTTAGCTTTCAACTGTTTACTAACATACTTTAGCTTTCATCTGTTTACTAATATACTATATAATATTATTTGACTACTTCTTTACTATATATAGTAACGTTTACATTTTCTTAACTCTATTGTTGTCTACCTATTTTTGTATACTCTTTTACTATCTACTCTTATTTCTTAGTTCTATTTAACATCTATATATTACGTCTGTGTGTTACATCAATATATACTTTTTCTCTACAATTTTATTTAGCGGTTTGTTGAATTTGTTGTTATGTATTCTTAAATGTTATGTTAAATGTTGTGTATTCTTAATCTCTCTTATGTTTAAAACGCTTTATACTTAGGCAATAAATTATATATACTTATTTATTATATATATTTATTGACAATTCTTTTCCTACTTCAATATTTTATACCAATTTTTTCTTATGAGTGTTCGTGTATGTGTTCGTGTTCTTGTGTCGATACCATCTTGTATATTTATAATACATTTTGTGTATCTGTTTGTGTTTATGTTTGTGTGTGCTTCATGTTTGTGTATGTTTCTGTCTGTGTTCCTGCGTGTTTTGTGGCTGCGTGTAGGTGTTGTGTGATATTTGTGTGTGGGTTAGGCGTAAGTAGTGTTTGCCCGGCCCGCAAATGCGGTCCTCCGCAGTGACTGCATCTGTCCACACTCTCGGTGCAAAATTTCCGACCGTGTCCGAAAGCAAGGCACCTAGTGCATTGGATGAGCGGAGACTGGTCCTCGACTCTGACCCTTTGCAGGTCCAGATAGAGGGCTCCAGTCTCCGTCATCCTCTGCCATACACTGGGACCCACCTGAATGATAATATGTTTCGTTTTAGGGTTTTTCGTGCGTTTTTTGAATTTAATTGCCATCTTCGCGTCCTCTTCAGGTAGGTCCGTAAATATTTCTTTGTTTTTAGCGTAAAGTGCCCCAATTAGGTATTCGTCCTCAGTCTCTATATACACATCTTTTAATATTACCAGCGGGTTTTTATGTCTCATTTGGGCGACTCTCAGTCCACCCCCGCGGCACTCTATCGTTCTTTGGACCTTGGCTATTTCTTCCGCTGTGTCACAACCCAAAATTATTGTTTGGTTCCTTGCTTTGACATTTAGCTCGGTGCTTCCGGCATCTACCGCCCTTTTTACTCTGTTGAGGACCTCGTCAGCGGTCTCCTGGTTTCCCTCCAGGGTGACCGCCACCGAGTGAAGTGCAGGGCGGTAGGCAGGCTTGGCTGCTGCGGCGCTGGCGTAAGATTTTGGGACTGGAACTAGGGCTTGATTAGCACTCATCAGTCCTTTGGTGACCTCGACGATTTCATTTTTAGCTGCCGCGACACCCTCGGCGATACCGCCGACAAGATCCTTGAGGAGTGGGTGGGTCCGGTCCTCGACCATATTGGCCGCTACTTGCCCCACCTCCCTAGCCACCTCAGTCCTGTCGCCGATACCGTCGAAGAACCTGTCCAGCAGGTCTGTGCACCGGTCTTTGGCACTAACGTCGAGTCCCTGCAGATCGGTTTGGATGGTTCGCTCCATTTCCCCGATCCGCTCGGTCAGCGCCGCCTCCATCTCCCCCAGTCTCTTTAGGACGTCCTCATGCCCATCGGACAGCGCGGTCCTTGAGGGCGCCCCTGCAGCTTGACCTTCGGTTTCGAGTCTCTTAATGCGGCTGCTAAGCTCGAAGAGAGCTTTGAGACCCCTGTCTGAGTGCACCTCCAAGAATGATCTAATATCCTTCCTCATTTGAGGGTAATCTTGGACTTTCGTCTTCATCAGCTCTTGGAGGAGCTGATCGCTCGGGATTGCGGCGTAGCTGTTTGGCCGCTTCCTGTACGAGAGAACGGTTTGAAAAATACCGGTTACTTATGGGTCTTAACCAATTTTTCCGTAACCGCTTGCGCAGAATGGAATCGCTGGGATTAACCTGGTTAACTTCAAACGAAAAGTGGGCGGAGCATCCTTCCAACGACGCGGCGACGCGACGTACATAATCGAACTCATGCCATAAAAAAACTTTCACATCAATGAAGACGTCAATATCAAATTAAATCGCGCCTGTGATATATGCACTGTTTACAAAAAAGTGCATATAGGTATCCGCTGTGCCGAAATAAGTAATAAAAACTATAATTTTTTTTTAGAACTGCTCTATGCAATCAAAGTATGAAATTAATAAAAATCAACAATTAAAATTCCTAATTTTGTTTTCAATCTTAAATGTTTGTATGTGTAATGTGTATATTAAATTTGTTTTGAAGGTATGGCATCTCTGCCGACCCTTCTAGTGTTAAAACACATAAAGTATAAACAGTAAGTAATACAGTTTAAACATTGACAGTGACTTAATATCTAACTAACTTTTGCCCGCGGCTCCGCTCTCGCGAACTCAGTTGATTATGTAGTGGGCATCGGACGGTCTTTCCAAATTTCATCTAAATAGGTTCAGCGGTTCAAGCGTGAAAAGTAGCAGAAAGATATACCTACAGGGTTACTTTTGCATTTATAGAATTAGCAGGGATAGGCAAGAATTAGGTACTTAAAGAGTTGTATACCTTTTCTTTTTATAGCATAAGACAGTTAATAATAATAATAATTTCACACATCTCACACACGGCCGTCTGATCCCAAACTAGGCAGAGCCTGTACTATGGTAATCAGACTGCTGATAAACATACTTATATATTTCTAAATACATACATAATATAGATAAATTACACCCAGACACAGAACAAATGATCGTGCTCATCACACAATTATTTGTCCCGGGTGGGAATCGAACCCACGACCTCCGGCTTAGCAGTCAGGGTCACTAACCACTAGACCAACAGGCCCGTCAATAATAAAAACGGCGTGAGGGGTCTATGGACCCCCGGTCGGAACGAAGTTCCTTTCTAAGATAAATTATCAAGTAAACTCCGCTCAGCTGCATACGCAGTAAGAAAAATTCGAGAGTTGACTGAAGTTGATACAGGACGACTTGTTTACTTCAGTTATTTACATGGCATAACTCGTGCGGTATTCTACTGTGGGGGGAAGAAGACTGCAGAAGAGAGTAATTCGACCAATTTATAATTTAGGCAATCGTTGTTCATTGAGGCAGAAATTGAAAGATATAAACAGAAAGACAGTATGTTCATAAAAACAACACACATCGATAGCTTTTCGAAAAGTGATGTTCTATTTCTATAAATACCAGAAAGAGGAATAAACTTGTTGTACCTGCCTCTAGACTCCAAAAGATAAACAAGTCGATGTTTCGAGGTCAATGTGTTCGATTTTATAATAAAATCCTAGTAGGCCTAGTTATTATGGTGTTTCAAAATGATGTGATCTGGTTGTCTGGTGACGCCTGACTAGCTGAGCTTGTGTAAATGTAACCTAAGATCGAGGCTATTAGAAAAGATCAGTAAATGTTCGTCGTGGGTGGTGCGAACAAAATATCGAGTGAAATTAACCGTTATTTTGAGCAAGAATAATTTTATTTTGCTCTTTGATCAGAACCAAAATAACATCGATTCTGTTGGAACGGAATGAAAATGCTCACTTTGAAATGTAAGGCGTTTCTGATGAGCTAACTAAAATAAAATTAACTAGGTTTCCGAGCCCTACATGGTAGGTACTTACACGTACCTTGTAGTAAAAAGTGTGGCGCATCTGTATCTATGTGCACTTAACAAATTGATTAAAAGAAGGGGCTTAAAAATGTACAGTGATGTACAGCAAATATTTCTAAAACTCATTTTAATGTTAATTTAAGTGTATTTGTTTTGTTTCTTAACAGATATTTTCCATAATCTGGACATTCTGTCAACATCATTATTGTTGTCCTTAGCTAACACAAGCTTAAATACCCATTTTCATTAATGGCAGCCTTCTTCTGAAATTAGCTTTATCAGTGAATTTTCAACTTTACAAATCTCAAAATAAGATTTCAGTATTAACAATAATGTCCCTTAAATCCCTTATGCTATTAGCACTTCTTATGCAAAATAATTTTAGTTTATTTATGGGCTCTACCTCACACCATACAGTAACATGCTTTACATAAACACATTTGCAACACCACTGCCAATATACAAAAAGTTTTGTCAATCTCACCATAGTCACTGATGATTCTACTAACCATATAGAGATCAATGTGTGTTTGTACTCAGTTTATGTCATCAGTATTTTTTTTATGCAGATGCAACAGCGAAGTACCTAAATATGCAATATTTTTTCGCCGCAACCTTTACTAACAACTTACAAAGTAGCAGCATGTGCTGCTTTGTCATAATAAAAGGTTTCTAATCACTCAATTATTAATAATAATAATGTATCTCACACATCTTACACACGGCTCTCTGATTCCAAACTAGGCAGAGCCACCAGACTGCTGATAATCATACTTATATATTCTTAAATGCAGACATTTTATAGATAAATTACACCCAGACACAAAACAAATGATTGTGCTCATCACACAATATTTGAGCTGGGTGGCAATCGAACCCACAAATCTTAAATAATATTTAGTGTTTCAAAAATTCAGCCTCTTGTATATTTGGATACCTGAATCAGCTAATATTCAGGCTACACGATGAATACTATGTATGATGACTACTATAAAATAATATGTGCCTAGTCCTCGAGGTAATTCTTATTTTTCCACTTTCAACATATGTTGATTTTTTTTTGTGTACCCTGGTAAGCCTTAAGTAAAAAGCTGTTATTCCGTCTATAGCAGCATGGCTAGTGGCACTTAGTACATTTTACACCTAACATTATAATTAGTTACTAAGTATAAATATTGTACAGTATAGGTGATACCAAAATCAAAGGAACAAGTAATAGACATTTTGTATAACAATATTTTACTGTCCAAAACTCGATCTTAACTCATTTAAGGGCACCGTATACATTATATCCACCGGGTTCACTTTGTCATCTGGTTTCTGGACCCACAAGGCCAAATATCCTATTTGTAGCCCTTTTCTCTAAGAACTCTCTCATTACTTGCATTTCAACAGCCAAGTTCTAAGCTTTCACAGTTTCTTTGTCTCCTGGATTATTCTGAAGTTCATCTGCTTCTGCTTTAAATTTATCCTGAAAATTAAAAAGTAACATGTCTAGTAATCAAATAAGGTGATTAAAGGTGTAGAAAACCTTCAATGATTTTGCTTAAAAGGTATAACAGAATATACATATTATATACTTAAATGATATTTGTCAACTTTTGCTACATTCTAAAGATTTTATAATAATCATTTATTTGCATGAATATGAGTACAGGGTTGGACAATTCAATTAACAAAGGTTCATCATATCCTGCCGGGTAGGCGTGCAAAACTTTTCGTCAGAAACTGATACCTACAGACCATGCAATACATAAATTAATGACAATCAGTTTTATTGGTCAAATATCAGGCAATTACAATAACAATAATTAAGTGGTCAAATAAATGTGTTAAGTCAAATTATTGATAATATGGAAATGTCACCGTCAAAGCACACTAGTATCACGGTCATTTAAAAACTCATCAATCGTGTAAAAACATTTATTAATGAGATATTTTTTAAAGTGAACTTTAAATAAATGTAGATGGAGTTCTCTTATGGCCCCAGGTATTCTGTTGTAAATTCTAGGTGCCATGCAAAAAATACTCTTGCTCATTAGTGCAGTTTGAGCCTTTCGCATGCATAACCTATCATTATCTCGTCTGTTCCGTATCGTTTTATATGTGAGTAGTGTGTGTATGTAAATTAATTAATAAAGAAACCTTACTCCTTAAGCAAGGAGTATAGTGTGCTTTGTTACATGTACTCTAGGCACCATAGTTAAACAAGAACTAAAACAATATTCTTTAATCAAGAGTTTTTGTTGGAGAGCATAGCTTCCCGATGATGCAAATGTTACTAAAAAATTAGATAAGTTAGATAAGCATTATGTAGCACATCGGTATTTTTTGTGAGTGCTACATAGCACTCACAAAAAATACCGATCTAATTGGAATGTTGTTCTACTGTGTTGTTATTTTAATAATGTTGTTAGACTACTATTATTACCATCTGATAACTATCCTTTATACATATAAAACTTTAGTTTTAAATTAAAGTTCCATTTTGTTCTTGCGATAAGTACCTAAACCAAATTAATTAGTATAAAACGAGTTACCAAATCATATATAACTTTAACCACGAGGGAGCAGCTTGGACAGGTCGCTACTTCTTCGCCCGCAATCAATTCTTCCTGCATAACAAAATATTCGAATTTAAATGTAAAGTATTCTCGAAAGTAAACAAATCTGAGAAATACAAAGATTATTCTAACCTTACTTATTTGGAATCTATCACCACACGGACAGGGATAGTAATACATTTCTTCATCTTCATCATACTCGAAGTCTTCAATTTCTATTTCATCGTGGAAAATCGTCATTTTGGATATTACTTGTATTATTTACAGATATACAATTTACACCAACTTCGCACATTGCACATTCCAACAATATGACATAATTATGGATAAGGAAGGATACAATGTAAGTTCTTAGTCCACTAAGATTTCTTGCAGTACATAATTTATTTTGATTTGAAGGCCCAGTAAAAACAATGTTCTTTAAACTACATGGCAATAAGATTCATTTTTAAAAAACCCTAAATGATTTTATCAGCTGGACTGCACACAATTCTAGGCATGGGCAAAATCACAGTAAACTGTGTGATTGTGTGACCTGTGATTTATCATTCGATTTTTTCGAACATAGGTTACTAGGTTCATAGGTTCGTAGGAACATAGGATTACTGTGATTTTGTCCCATATCTACATGAACGTAGTCATATCTACTACAAAATTCCACATCTAAGAAGTGTTGCCAGACGGAATCTGAAAAACAAAATTGGTAGAAAATTTGCATCGAAAATGTATTAAAAATCTGTTGTCTTGCTGACACTACTCTATAACATTAAATTGTCTAAAAATTTCGATTGCTCTGAAGTTGCGTTTTAATAATAAATACCTTTAAGGCTGCCCTGTTGATTGTTCATGAATTAAATCTCTAACTATCGCGTTCTCTACCTTAACATTGGGATGAATATATAAAAGAATGTTAATCCTTGAAACTAGCGATGAAAAAAGCGTCTTCGGTTTCAAAATAAGTCCATGGATCTGAGAGCTGTTTAGGTAATTAGACTAACAAGAAGCTGCGTTTTAGATAAGCTCAAGTAACTCCACCTAGTTAATAACAGTCGCTCAAGGTTCAGTGTTGTTGCTTGTTTAACACTACCCAATGGAGATCGGTAAGCGAATGGAACAAAATTGATGAATGTGTTCTTACTTATATCCAGCTGGATTTTTGAAACGAAGTTCCTGATCGCGCGTTACACGTTTTGAGCGGATGGGAGTGGGACCGAAAAATTTGTAATAAGCCTTTATTCCCAACACTTCTTGCTATACTTCGTTCCGACCACAGATTAGTATAATGTAGCAAGCTACCGTTCCGACCGGGGTCCATAAACACCTGAAATTTTTCTTAAAACACCAACAGGTCAGTAGAGTAGTAGTTATTAATGTTATCAAATTAACATAGCATGAAATGAAGTCACTTTTTGTTCTTGTACGATTAGATATTTTTAACTATGCAACGGATTTGAATGCAGTTTTCAACAATAGAGAGAGTGATTCAAGAGGCGGGTTTATATATGTATAATACATGCAGATTATAGAAGAGGAAATTCGAGAATTTCAAAAAGATGTCCTACAACATATTTTTGTGCACTTATATTGCAAACGCTGGCTGAACCTTACAAGATAGATCAAAATAATGTACTACGGAATTGGAAATCTTAAAAAGATCTACAAAAAAAATCGGTTGTCTGTAAAGTCGGTTTACTGACGATAGTTGAACGTGACAACGTCATAAGAAAATACTGATGGAATGGTTGCATTTTTCAAAAATGTATTATTGTATACGAGTAGCAGCTGTCCACGCGGACGCATCGCTCACTCAAGTAGGAGAGAGACAGATGTCGAACGCTGCCGAACGCGGAGGCCGATTGTGCCTCTTTGTCACTCGTTCCGCGCTCTCGCTTGCACTTCACACCTTAAATGGAACGCCTCAGAGCGAGGTAACGCCGCATGAGTCATGTTTTTTCGTGCATGCAGCCGGCTCCATCGAATTATAAGACGTTGTCACGTCAAAAATCAGCGATGGTAGATGTCTATCTCCTAAGGATCACCCACATTAACCATCTTTATCTTTTACATATTACAAAAAATAATAGGTTATTTACGAACCTATTTTGAATAATACAGTTTTAGTCCTAATCCAATTAAATCCGTTAGAATCGTCGTGCATTTAATGTAGATTCAAAGTGCTCTGTACAGCATATCATTAAAACGAATATCTTGGAAGCTATCAGAGATTTAAAATGTAGTGTGTGTGGTATAATATACGAGGCCGTTGTCAGGCCGTACGTGATACGTCCAAGTGGTAGCGTTCCAAGTGGTAGCGGCCGGCAGGAGCAGAGCGGGCCTATAAATATTGTATAAAAAGATGTCCTGTAGTCTTATCATAATAATATGTACTATAATGAATTTTTCCACATTAGTAGTATCTACATTGCACCCGTACGAAGCCGGCGCGGATTGTTAGTAGATAACCTGTACAATGAAAACCAGTTATTATTTAGTTGACGTCATTGTACAGATCTAGTACAGATTATCTTGTTGACAACTGTCAGGCTTACTGCTATGTTCCGTTTTCCTCCAATACCTTTTGTAAATACCTTGTTAAATCAAAATCAAATCAAGTCTTCTGCATAAATATTCAAAGATTTTTTTTATTTTGTTTATACTGTAATTATAGTAAAATAAGTTTAATACAGGAAATAAAAAAGAGAGACTGAATAAATTTGTATGGTCTTCCTTTACTATTATTTTTATCTAGTAGCACTGAGGCAATTCATTATGCGTCACTTTTACGTCAACACGTCATTTGACACTTTAAGTTTGTTGTATCATTTTTGTAGGGGAGGATGATCGTGGTGGTCTCATCGAATTTGTTGTAATAATATTTAAGTGTCGCAGTGAGTGTACTAGTGCTCGTGGCTTTCGAATTATTTAAATTATACTTCACACCAAAATACAGCGACAATGTTTAGTTGGTTAAAGAAAGAGGGCGAGAAAACAGAAAGTATCGAAAATGTCGTGGAAGGTCTTAAAAGGATATATAAAACAAAACTTTTACCGCTGGAATTACACTATCAGTTCCACGATTTCCACTCACCTCAACTCGAAGAACCGGATTTCGACGCAAAACCTATGATACTGCTCGTTGGACAGTATTCGACTGGTAAAACCACATTTATCAAATACTTATTAGAGCGAGACTTTCCCGGCATCAGGATTGGGCCGGAGCCCACCACCGACAGGTTTATCGCGGTTATGTTCGACGAGAAAGAGGGAGTAATACCCGGGAATGCACTCGTGGTTGACCCCAAGAAACAATTCAGACCACTCAGCAAATTCGGTAACGCTTTCCTTAACAGGTTCCAGTGTTCAACAGTGAGTTCGCCGGTGCTGCGAGGCATTTCCATTGTTGACACGCCCGGTATCCTGTCGGGAGAAAAACAACGTGTGGACAGAGGCTACGACTTCACCGGAGTGCTGGAGTGGTTCGCCGAGCGCGTAGATCGCATTATCTTGTTGTTCGACGCCCACAAACTAGACATATCAGATGAGTTTAGACGCAGTATTGAGGCTCTTAGAGGGCATGATGACAAAATTCGTATTGTATTAAACAAAGCTGATATGATTGACCACCAGCAGCTGATGAGAGTGTACGGTGCCCTGATGTGGTCTTTAGGCAAAGTGCTGCAAACACCTGAGGTGGCTCGTGTATACATTGGCTCTTTCTGGGATCAGCCTCTGCGCTATGATGTCAATAGAAGACTATTTGAAGATGAAGAGCAGGATCTCTTTAAGGATATGCAGTCCCTGCCACGAAATGCTGCTCTAAGAAAACTCAATGATTTAATTAAGAGAGCTCGTCTTGCTAAAGTGCATGCATATATAGTTAGTGAGCTTAGGAAAGAAATGCCTTCGATGTTTGGAAAGGATGGCAAAAAGAAAGAGTTAATAAAGAATTTAGGTCAAGTGTATGATCGTATCCAGAGAGAGCAGCAGATATCACCAGGTGACTTCCCCGATATCAAAAAAATGCAGGAGACATTAGCAAATCATGATTTCACAAAGTTCCATCCTTTAAAGCCAAAGTTACTAGAAGTAGTGGACCACATGCTGGCCACAGACATTGCACACCTCATGGACATGATCCCGCAGGAAGACATCAATATTGTCAGTGAACCACTAATAAAGGGTAAGTTGCACAGCTCTTTCTATATGCCATCCTCAACTTAGGATGATCTCATATGTTCATTAAATTTAATCTTGATGTGGTAACAATATCTGCATAACAACAAATACATATATAGGAGTGGCACATATCACAGAGTTTGCAAGGCTGTCTGGAATAATACAGTTCAAGCTGGCCAAGCAGACACTACACCACTACATAACCCTCATACAGACCAGGTGATAGGGTTGGATATTAAGATTAATACTGTCCATAGAGTATATAGTTCTTTGCAATCCAAAATTATTTAGAACTAGATGGTACCCACAACCTCATTCGTGTGGAATTTAAAAAGCACTCCTTTAGGTTAGTGGTATCATACAGTATGCGAATGCAGTCCATTAGGCCTCGGGTTCGATTCCCGGACCAAGCAAAATGTGTTTTTCTGAGAGGAAAAATTGCCTAAGTTACTCCTGATATAGTTTTTTACAGCTACCTGATAGTGAAATATTATCAAAATCCTTTACCGATTTTGATAATATATAGAGACAAACAGACAAAAATAATTAAACTGGTTTTTAGTCATAGGTATCATGCAAGCAAGTGAGCATGAAAAAACCTATTATTTTGACATTAAAAACTCTTAAATTTTGTTTATTTGTATAGACTAGGAGTTTGTTGCAGTGTCACCCCTTCTTGGTTGTAGCTTGATGTTATATACTTAATAATGTTTTTGAATTAATTCTGTATCCAAGATAGAATGTATTAATCTCACTGGTAGGACTGTACTAGTCATTAGTGTGTAAAGCAAAACACATTTTATATTACTACCCATAGAGTTGATATGAATTGTTATAATGTAGATTTGACAGCAATACTTAGGGATATGTTCTATGTACACTCCTTGGGCTACTATCATAAGATATTGACCTGAATATCTTATCGTGGCGTGATAACACGCCGACGGTGATTCGCTAACGGTTCTGTTTAACTGTGGTTAAGCAAGTGCTATAATTAGAAATTATCAAATAATTATGTCTGACCTCATGAGAGCTAATTAGAAATATATTTCTGTTGGAATCTGCCACACATGCATAGCAGCCATTCATTTAATAATTGTTTATTGACATCCAAGTTACTTACATTAGTATTATATTTAGGTTTTGGTTAACTATTACATTTTTACTGATACTGACTCTCAAACTAGGACGGAAGACTGTTATTGTTAATTACTAAGAAAATATCTAATTGCGGGGTAGTAATTTGTCAGTAGGTGGTGATGTGTCATGTGTATGTGTGTATGCGTGAGAGCGAGTGTGCGTGTGCGTGTGTGTGTGTGTGAGAGTGGGGGGGGGGGGTGGTGGTGGTGGGTGTATGTGTGTGTTTGCGTGTGGGTAATTTGGGATTCGTGAGATTTAAACTAGGTACGTAAGAAGTTCTTCAGTTGTTTGTTAATCTAGTTGTTGAAGCCAATTAGTAACTTTCACCTTAACTTCACGTCTACCCATTGAAACGATATTTAGTTTCTTATATAATTTTTTATATAAATTAACCCTTATACTGCGTGGTTGTCTTCTCGCGAAAGAGGTTCTGCAAGTCACACGAGGGCATACAGATGTTGACCTGCGTCTGTTTGGGTCTGCGAGGGGCACATCTCGGTATTTTCTAAGGGCAGCTTTCAAGACCAATAGCTGTCGAACTGAGAGGACCTTGCAGTTTGCATATTGGTTCATGGTAGGGTATCTGTAGGGTTTCCTAGTCATTGTCTTTAGCGTCGGCGCTAAAGACAATGACTAGGAAACCCTACAGATACCCTCTCAGAGATCGGTCACTGTGCCCTCTCCAATTTAACAAGGTGCGTTTTGGCTGCTCCACCCCAGACTGTGATGCAATATTGTATCACAGATTGGCATAGAGTCAAATAGACTAGTGTTAGTTTATCATGCGGTAGGGCACCTCACAAGGATTTGAAAACATAAATCAATCGCCTTAATCTTGCTGTGACTAAAGTCTATTTGCTAAAGTCTATTTTCTTGAATCCATTTCAGCCTGTGGTCGATTTGTAAACCCAAATATTTAATATTTTCGACCCGTGTAAGTTCTAGGCAGTCGCATACATTGCGTCGTGTACAAGTGTGGGCCTTATCAGGGTCAGTAATTTTGCTGAGTGAAAAAGCTATGTAGTTGGTCTTTGTTAGATTCAGTGTTAGGAGGTTATTCGATAGCCAGCTCATAACTCTGGATAATGAGTGTTTGGCTCCTAGAGCTCCTATTTACTGAGTCCTTGGGATTGGTTTAGTTTTCTGGTGGCGTTTATCTTCTAGTGCGAGAACATAATCAATTATGAACCGAGCATATATTTTTATATTTTTTATTATATACATCACATACATCAGCTGTACACACATTCGATTCAAATTTTTTATAGACGGTAGTTACACTGACTTAAAACTTCTGCTTTCGGAATGACTTCGTGCAATTGTTCCCGTCTAATTCCTCCGTCGTAGGCTCCATGTTTTGGTAACAACAAAATTTTATTTAAACGCGTGTGTGGGAACCACTAAAAACTAATACAACTTGCGGTCAGATATCCAAACACGGAAATCGTAATCCAAAATAAAATGGAGAAATCGACCGTATATACACAAGTTAATTATGAATAGATCTTTTATCCATTATTGCAGACTTTTATCGAGATTAATATACTACAGCAGATTCTCCGAAGCAACATCTACGAACGTGTTATTACATTAATATATTATTACTCATTGCTTACGAAAGAATTGAGTGGCTAACTTGAAAGTGCTAAATATGCAGTCCGCAATATAAATAACTTAGGTATATTGTCAAAGAACAAGCATTGTGTGGACAATTTACAAGTAACAGTACAGTATTGTGCAGTAATAAGCAGTTGACATTGGTAACAATGAAATCTTATGCAGTACTTGGTACGTTGGCGAAAGTGCCGACTACGGGCTTTAGAACGATCGCACCACAGACACGTTCTGATTGTCGACACAAATTATTATAATTAACTTCACTCCATACAAACTAAATCCTTTATTTGGAGACTAGGCATGATCATGTCCATCGGTGCGCTCTCGCGCTCACACTGAGGACACAGTGCGACACCATACTAGCGTGCAAATGCTTGGTAAATTCTATTTTAATTCGCGACACGTGTGGTAAACAGTTTCTCTTCAGTCCTTGTTTATTCTACTGAATTCTACAGTTAACAACAAAATCACATCCCTACTTAATTACATTTTATTGCTACGTATAGTTTCGCCAGATTGCTTCGACAATTATCTTCGTCTTGTATCGATAAATTAGACGTAGTTTAGAATTGCTTTATTTTAAAAGAATTTCTACATTCATGTTCAGCTGGTTCCAAATAGACCAGCCGGAGAGAAAGCCCCGATAACGCTCACAAACGCTTTGTAACCCTTATTGAGTGTTTTTTTGTTAATAAATGTTCTATCAATAGCATCGAACTCACGTGCTTGAATATATTTTAAATATTTCAACGACGAACAATCAACCGCAGTTTTGTAAGTCATGATGTCGACGATTCCCAATCCACGTAATAATAGTATCGTGCACAAGACCTAATCTTATCAGCACTAATCACAAGTACGACAGCCCTGGTTGTACGATTTTACTAAGCAACGAAATATATAAGTGCCGTCGAGTACATTTTTTTCCATGTTAGAGGAGACAGACGAGCAGACGGGGTCACTTGATGGAAAGTGACCATCGCCGCCCATGAACGTCTGCAACTCAGAAGTCACAAGCGCGTAGCCGGCCTTTTAGGGAGGAGTACGCTCTTTCCTTGAAAGACGTATCGGCCCGGAAATACTTCAGACGATAGCCCGTTCCACAGATTGGTTGTGTGAGCCAAAAAATGTCTCGTAAAGCGCACAGTAGTGGAGCGGCAACTATCCAGGTGATGGGGATGAAAATGTTGCCTCTTGGAACGATGACGGAAAGTTGCGGCCGGTATTAGTCCGAACAATTCCTCGGAGCACATGAATATGTTGTTACGTATATGATTTGGGCGACTGTCATTTCGATAAGGAACTGACATCAGTATACCCCAGTAACCAAGACATTAAGATTAACATTAAGATTGACTAAATTAAGAGTGTGGTGACGGTGAGTTGTCCGTGTGGTGACGGATTAAGAATACAGAGTGTCACCACCCCTATTCATCCCGTGGGTGTCGTAAGAGGCGACTAAGGGAGCAAACTACGCAGGACAACAGCACTGCAGAGAGAAGGAAAACTTGAAACAAACCCTATACCAACCCGTCTGGCCAGCGTGGTATAGTAGGCCAAAACCTCCTTCCTAAGGAGAGGCCTATGTCCAGCAGTGGACTAGTAAAGGCTGTTGATGATGATGATGATGATGATGAAATTAAGAGTAGTTTGACAGGTATACATAAATAATATGTGACATTACACTCACCTGAGATTTTGGATGGCCATGAGAGCCAGCTAGCTGCCGCAATGATCATCTACTAGTTAATTCCGCCTGCAATATGCAGGTACCAGGTACACACGTAAGAAGCACGAACCAAGGTGCTCTCATGTCCTGCCCATGATTAAGTGATGTATTTAACAATGTGTGATATGAATTACGAAAATTCGGAATTCAGACTGTATTCGGATTATATCAATGTAGGTATTATCATAGTATTGATTACTCTACGCACAGTGTGCTCGTGTATGATGTAGGCTGTTGCGGTAATCACAGGCGGATGATGGTATCGCACTTTGGCTATGTTACGTAATATGTGGACGTCATTGTTCGGTAATGATAAACATTGTATACTATGGTCTCCATTTAAAAACTATCTAATCTAAATATTTTAGTATTAACAGAAGATAATTATGACGACAATCGACAAATTCAAATTGTTATAAGTGTTTTAATTTTCATACGGAGACACCTGTGAAGAAAATAAGAAATACATTTAAATTAAAATATTTAATTTCTGGATGTCAGAAAGTCTACTACAAAAA